TTTTTGTGGAAAGCAGAAAGTCCAGTGGAACAGAGGAAATCAAAAATCTTTAAACTTCTGCTATTTTAAGTACTTCTTTGTACCCAAAATTCCCTAAACAATTTAAGATATTAAAATAACTGAGATTAACATGTTACTTTATATTCTTGTTACTGGATGTTAGAAAAGTCAATCATTTGGCTAATTTATTAATTAATTCTTGTATAACTTTTATGCTCATATTCCATCTTTAGGAATTACATTAATGCTCTAAACTTACCTTTAGTGCATTTTCAGAGGCAGCACCAAAATACAGCAGCAGAAATGTGACCACATTAATTAGATGCTTAAATTTCAATCTAGCAAATTCTGTTACGGTTTTGAAATGAGAAATCTTATTCATAAAGAGTGCCAAAATTAAGCCCCAGATATCTAAATACACTGAAACATTCCTTTGATTTTAAATTCTTGTGTGTCAAATGATTCCTAACAAGATATTGTGTAAACTTTTACAAGTTCTTCTAGAAAGTCTGAGTGTAACAAATATTATTTATCTCTTTGCAACAGTTTCAGAGCCCATCCACATTTGTCACACGCAAACACAAAAGCCCAAAGAGTTAATTATAGATAAGTACTTCAGGGGCTAATATTGCCTTCACACCATTCATGCTATTAAGGTACACAGATTCACTTTCTAATAGGGAAAAAAAAANTATTACTTAAACAATGAGAATGAACTAGGGGGAAACCAGGGGAAAGCAGTGCCCTCTCTTTACCTTATATGATTGATTAGCCACAGATCCCTCCTCTACCATCTCAGGTGAAAATATCCCTCATAAATGAAAACATCCTAGGATTAAATCTAAAGGAGAAAAATTATTTGAGAAGTCTTGACTAGAAAATACATACTTCTTTCTGACCCTTAAAACATACCTCAAATATTTTAGCACTTTTTAAAAGTTATAAAGTAATCATTCAGCAGTTCTCATATTTAAATAATAAAAATTAACTTTAACTGAACTGGTCAATCATCTTTGACTCCCTGTTTACACATACAGAGGCAGCCCTAAATTTTCACCACAGACCAGTCATACCGATTCAAAATCCCATTCAGTAGAATACACTCTCCCATTGGAGTCTGTTTCC